GCTAAATCTTCTTAATGGAACGACAGGTTTTATTTGTTCTTGAGATAGTGACCTTCTATATAGAGATGTAAGAACTTCTCTCTGAATAAACTGATGAATATCTATTGGAATCTGTTCTTCGAAGCATATGTTTAACAAAGAAATATATCCATCTGTCAGACACTATTCAACTCGACATTTTGACTATGATTCAATGAAACTAAGAAAATGCTAAATGGGTTTGTGCATATGTGTTATCCAACAAGAACTATAACCGTTCGAGTAGGTCTTAGATCTTTGAAACAGCTATTCATCTGAAATTTTGCACATAGATAGGATCATTAGAATATTCTAAAAATTTCAGCTCAAACAAACATATATCTCTTGAAATATCAAGTGTCTAAAACAATTCGATTCTTATGGCTTATCTTATGATACAGTAGCATTCATTGAATACTTGACATCTCAACAGGAATATATTTCTTCGAGCTGAAATTTTTAGAATATTTTAATAGCTACGAGATCGGTCTATGGGAGAAATTTTCATGAATAATCGGTCCAGAGGTCGCAAATCTACTGAAATAGTCATAACTCTAGTCTTAATAATATTAATGTTAGAACTTAAAATGACTGACTCATCTATACGAACTGGGTTAACATTCAAACGAAACGCAAGCATGTTATAGGTAAGTATAGTTAATTTAATGTGATAATGAAGCAAAGCATGGTTTATTACCAACAAAAAAAAAAAGATGGCTAACGGATTATTTTACCTTTATATAATAAAAGACCTAAAATATTTTATATTATTTATCAAAATCAAATCTTTATTTTAAATTGAACACATACTAGATCGAGTTTCTTCGTGCATACAATCTGCAAGTACACTATCATCTAATAAACTTTTCTTTTCATGTGTTCTACAGGGTAGTGTTGCAGATTTATTTGATGATGATAAACAATTTGAACTAAAAAACAAAACAAAGAAAATGAAAATTTTTTATTTTTTAAAAACTTCAACATACTGATTATAATCACTAAGTGTTCGTCTATGTGTACATGTTGAATGTGAATCAATATGTGAAATTTTAAGTGATGCTGTTTTTTCTAAAGGTTTTGGTGTTCGATCATAATGTGAATCATTATGATCGGTATTTATTTGATCAGGTTCAATAGTTAATGATTGTTTAAAATTTTGATCTTCAACAAATGTTTTGTAATTCTTCCATATAACGTGCAGATGCAAGATAATCTTGTACGCATTCAATGGATTTAAGAAATTCTAAAAATATGTCAAGGTTTTGTGTTTTTTGTTTTTCTATAAATAAAACAAACCATCACTTGATTGTTGAAATTCTGATATAACTCGACATATATTATTCATGGCATTTTTACGTTGATTTGTTTCAAGTTCACCACTATGTGGATGTAGTGTATCAATACGAATAAGATCAGTTAAATAAATGCCTTAAAATTGAAAAGTTATCTTTTTTTTTCTATAAAAAGCTTTTTTTTATTTTATTTTTTTACCAAGATATGGAATATATGGTAATTTTGCATTTGTTAAATGATGTCTTAAACGTTTCCAATTTTCATTTGATGATACAAATTCTTTTAAATTTGAAAATGTTGTACGATCACGTTTACTCAGACCCTAAAATAATAAAAAAAACAAATATTTAAAATAAATATATTGTGGGCGTGGGTGTGTGGCTGTGGCGTGTAGGTGTGGGGTGTGTGGGTGTGGGTGTGAGTCTTCTTTTCAACTACACCCACATCCACACTCTCAAGTTTGATATGCTGTGATACTGTGCTGAAGCGATTTTTTTGCCTTGAAATGCCAGCTTTGGCGAATAGTCGAACAGAAAACTAGATAATCTCATGAAACTTTATTTATGCTGAAGAAAGATTGTGACTGACAAGAAATGAAATCGGAATTCATTTTTCTTAGTAAAAAAATGAAATAGGTGATGAGAAGAACAAGTCTCATTAAATACTAATTAAGCTGTGGGCGACAATAACAACGGAAGTAGAAAACCAATGAGGGGTAGCATGATAAATTGGTACATTTTGGTGTGTATGTTACTGGTTGCCATACTCTTAGCAGTAGTGGTGGCGGCAGTGATGGTAGCAGCATTGGTGGTGACCATAATTGTCAGATTGTTACAATAGGCGTTCACGACTCCAGTCGAAAAAATTATACTCGGAATAGAAGTACTGATCGAAGCGGAACAAAGTGAGTAGGTACAACTGGAGCAGTCACTTATGGTGAAGCTTTGATTGACATTAGTCGAACATCCTGCCGCGCAGAAGGTGCAGTATCAGGTGCCGCCATTCGCATGACCGAAGGTAACGAAAAGCACCAGAAGAGCTTTGAACAAGATGACAGAGCCAGTTGACATGACTTAATAGAAAACACTGAGCACTTATTGAAGTATCGTCTAGAAACAACTCACTTTTTATTTAAAACCAGAATGCTTCGTGCAGATTGTTTCTTGACGGTAAATTGTTTCGCAAGTTTTCTGAAAGTTTCTTTGAGAGAAAAGAAAAGTCAAAGTTTTTTCTCAATGTTCTCTGCGTGACGGAGTCTCCATTTCACAATTTGTTATATGTGGGAGTGGAAGCTCCCGATGAGTAGCCAAACATAGGTAAAGTGGCTTTCAAAAACGCAAGACTTCAGATTTATTCCATACTACTTTAAAAGCTATTCATTCATTTTTGCTAGTTTCATCATGATTAGATAGCTCACGAGGGAACATACCGAAGTGTTCAAGTAATTTAGGCTCCATCTTTTGGTCATAAGCAGATCTCAATGAGGTATGAAAAACCTAAGAGAATTCATCCCCTCATGCCTTTGTTCCAGAGATACCGAATTTTTAAGAAATCTTTTTCATGGGATCCGAGCTTTACAGCAAAATCATATTACCGAATATTGATCTGAGACTTCCCCCATATCAAGCTCTCAAATAGAGTAGGTTGTGCACAAAATTTCAGAGTTTTTAAAAGTAGCATTTAAGATATTTGCATTTCCCAAAACATCCGTCTTTTCTATTATATCTGTGGAAATTGGTCTTTACTTTGGGAAATGCATATCTATTAAAGGCTACTTTTAAAAATTCTAAAATTTTATGCACAAACTATTCTACTTGAGAGGTTGATATGGGGAAGTCTCAGATCAATATTCGGTAATATAATTCTGTTTTTCGGGACAACCGATTTGAACCGATAACTGTACCCACGGTAACCGTACCTACAGTTATCGTACTTAGACCCATAACCGTAGGTGCGGTTATCGTAGTCGGACCGATAACCGTAGGTACAGTTATCGATTTGGACCGGTGAAACGGTGACGATTAACTGGTGAATGATCGTCACCGTTGCATTCCTAAAAAATATCAATTAAATGAGTAAGACAAAATGACAACAATTTTTATAGTTGATAGATGGGCTCTGAAAGGTTATCATTTCAAAACTTAACATTTAGAATTATTTTACTAACAATTTATTTATGTCATTTAATATCATGATACTGTCAAAGCTTATTTATATTGTCAGATACATCTTGAATAAATAATTTCTTTTCTCGTAATGATAATATACATAGAATGCATGCTATAGAAAGTGGTAAATATAATTTTGCTTTTCACTTCGTCGATTCAACTGCAATATTAGCCTGCTGTACACATTGATTTAATAGTTCAGTGAGCTACTACGTAGAACGTCCTCTCTTTCGACGAACTTTGTTACATAGTGTTGAGTTTTGCCTAACCTTAGAATTCATTTAGTTCATAGGTTTCTATCCTGGTCCTATTCTAACTTCACTAAATAAAAAATAACATGGTCCTAATGATTGACTCTGTCGCTGCATTAAAAACCAGAACCTGCTATATTTAGACTAGTTCTCATCTACAGAGTTCTAGAATGATTCCAGCACTGATATAACTAATGCATCTTTTCCCGTTACTATGGAAAGATATCTAAATATCTTTGGTTTCTCGTAAGTTTGTTGTTAGAGCCTAGAGGATCTGGGAGAAAGTCACACAGCCTCAATTTAAAACTTACAATCATTATTTTCGGAGAAAATATCTGTGAGTGCCACACACAAAAAAATTGATTGGATTCCTTGAACTTCTTCAAATCTGAATCCTAAATTTTGAAACACATCTGTAACAAATAAAAGTGAAAGTATTCTGAGATTCTCATCAGTGATTGTATTATCTATGATTCTCGCGGAAATGATCGTATTGTTAAAGATGAAGTTGGCATAAAAATGGATGTGATTTAAGTTAGAATATCGATCAATATAAACATGACCGCTGAAGGTAAACTCCAAGTAAATCGTCTAATCTAAGGATCACTTTTAACATTCAAATACAGCATATATGCTAGTATCATTTATACTTGCGTTGCAGTCGTTTTTCTTTTGTATATGTTTGTCTAAGGACTAGAATAAAGACCGAATGTAATAAAAAAACACTGCTGCCGTATATGGTAAGAAAAAGGGCATGAATATTTTTGATCACCAAAAAAGAGACAAATGATCACCAAAATGTGTTTGTTGCGAAATGATCACCAAAAAAATATACATTTGATCACCAAATTTAATGACTAGTAGAAAAAGCAATAAGTATATCGAAAAATGGCACTGATTGTACAGAATAACGTCACGAAAAGCCCTACCAACACAAAAAGAATTAACGCTACTACCAGAGACACAATATGGCATAAACTTCTCACAATATCGTAGTTATTGCTTTCTTTCATACTTACTCCAAATCATCGCTAAAACACCACTCACCTAGTCAGATCGCTAGATAAATCGTGCACTAATCATAAACATTACAATCACACATTCACCAGCACTTACACCCACACCCTCATCCTCACATCCTTTATCACCATCCACTTCACTCTCACCTGTTGACTGCCTGCTATAGGTATATTGTCTATAAAACCGGTGAAAAAACTACATTGTACTAACTATTTCACAATTAATTAAATTTGGTGATCAAAAGTATCCTTTTTTGGTGATCATTTCGCAACAAACACATTTTG